GAGGCAGCCGAGCCGCGAGCCGCCCGAGTTGAGGGTCGGCAGCAAAGGGCAGGCGCGGGCCACTAGTTTTCCAGTCGGGCCCGGCCCCGCTGAGCGCCACTCTTTCCTTAGTGCGGAGGAACCGCCGTACTTTCCCTTATTTACTTCCGGTGCAGTCCGGAGGCCGCCTGGGAAAACCGGAAATAGGGTTGTGGCCACCGAACGGGTCGGAGTCGGAAGTGGCTAGCAGGGCGCCGCCATGACAAGTCGGGGCGGAAGCCGGGGTAGGGCGCCACCATGGCAGGTCGGGGCGGAAGCAGAGGCGGAGCGCCGCCAGGACAGGTCGGGGCGGAAGCAGAGGTAGGGCGCCGCTCTGACGGATTGGCGCTAAAAGCAATAGGGCCGCTTGGCCGCTGTGTGAACGGAATAAACAAGCAGGGAGGGCGCCGCCATGACAACCTGACACCGGAAAAGGCGGGACTCTCCTCCGGACTGTTTCTCCCGGCACCTGCCTCGACATGTGAGTAGCAGGAGCACCTTCCCTTTACCTTCCGCGCACACCTTCTCCTTGTCTATGACCCGGACCTAAGTCGGGATCCGGGAGGAGGGGTGGCTTCTGTTCCTTGAACCTCCGGATTCCCGCGCCGTCAGCCCTCCCCGCGCGTCCAAGCCCCGCTCCCCTCCTGGGAACCGAGGACTCTCACACCCAGGCAGCTCGCAGGACTCCAGGCCCGGCCTCGGAGCCCCATGTTCCGCCTCCGGGTCACCCCACCTTCTCTCTTGAGACGAACCCGGGCCCCAGCCCAACCTGGCGCTTCCAGATCGTGCCCCGAGGACCCTGACCCATGAGGGCCTCCAGTGTCCCTCCGGTGCCCTGTCCTCAGGTCTCCGCGCTAAGACTGGTTGGGAGACCCTTCCCTGGACGCGACCCCACACCCACCTGTGGCTCCCAGGCCCTCCCAGAGCCCTGGGTCCTACTTCTAAGGCCCCATGGGGGGCGGGGTTTGGCTCCAGGACCCTCTGCCCGACCCCGACCGCGCATTAGAGTGACCAGATCTGTTCAAGGACCCTCACCATCTATTCAGAAGCCCCTGGCCCGCTCCACAGCCCGGCACCCCGCGGGCCCTGCCGTGGGACCGTGAGACTCAGGGACCCACCCCACACCCTCCACCCCTACCCGCGTGTCCCGCAGGCAGGCGGCGCTGGAGGTCACTGCCCGCCACTGCGGCCGGGAGCTGGACCAGTACGGCCAGTGTGTGGCCGCCAAGCCCGAGTCCTGGCAGCGGGACTGTCACCACCTCAAAATGAGCATCGCTCGCTGCACCTCTAACCAGTGAGTGCGGGACAGTCCCGGACTGGGGCGGTTCGGAGGGGGCTGGGAGTGCAGGAGGGCAGTGCAGGGGCTGGGAGTGCAGGAGAGCAGTGCAGCAGGCAGCACGGGGAACAGTGG